ATTATACATCAAACTTGTTTAAGCCAGAAAGGCAGAGATGATCCATCTGTTCTTTGACTTTGTTTGCCTTGTGCTAATTTACAGAGGGCATTTTGTTTAATTCACTCTCTATTGAATGTACTATCAAATTAAAATTATGCTTCTGAATGAGATAATGCTTTGGAACTGTGCATGTTTTTATTTGCACTTCTACTATTTAACAAGAGGCTCAGGTTCTCAGAGTCAAACTACACAATATATTAAATGGATGTCATGAAGTTTAACATATTGTTAATTGTGAAAGTAAATACTCATAGCATCTATCCAGGCTGGGACGAGGGTGCATAAATGGGAGCGGTTATTAACCTTCACCACATCTGCTTTTAATTTTAAAAATTGCCTCGTACATGAAAAAGATAAATATAAAACTCATTTCTTCCAATAACATTTTTAAAGCTTCTGTGTTGTGGGGGACTTTTTTTAAATGAGATAAAATTCAAATCTCACCCACCCATATAGACTGGTTTCAGTTTGGATTATGGCCACACATGGTCACTGTCAAGTAAAATATTGATCTTACTTATTTAACACACCCTGTACATTTTGTCCTGACAGGTTTGAAGCCCTGAGTCACGTATACATTGTTCACTGGTTTGCATACACACTGTATACCACAATTCTTAATTTAGCATTTCATGAGAAATCACAGGACAACAACATCACAAACAGTGAAATGCAACACAAATCATCTGCTCCACCCCTATGCAATTATACTGAATTGACCACAGCCAATTTTAAGGCAATAGGACATAGTGATTTTAAGGCAATAGGACACAGTGGGTGTCATATTATTTTAATTTTGTGCAACTCATATTTTTTTAAAGAGTGTCTAGAAGAAAAACAACAGAATATTGATGTATGATACCTGAGATCTGTCAATGCGGTAAAAACGATCAGCAGAAGTTGCTGAAAGCAAGCAGGAAAAAATGATATAAGAGAAAAACATGGATAAAACTTGCTGAAAACTTACAAGATCCTTCTTCTCAACTTGTAATAATAAAATTAGTAATCTTCATAATAAAATTACTCCCCACCCATAAGCACATACAGCAAGGCCCCCCTGGTGACTGCTGTAAAGCAGCGGTCCACAACCTTTTTAGCCCCGCAGACCAGCTGGGGGAAGGCAGGGCATCCCCCCCCCTGTGCTCGTGTGCATGCGCGAAGGAGCGCATGTGCAGGTACGCTCGTGCACATGCGCAAAGGGTGGCACAGTGCTCAGGGCAGTTGTGCGCATGCATGAAAGGGTGGGGGAGCGCTCACGTGGGCGCAGGCACAAACAGGCTTTGCAGGTGGGGGAGTGTGTGGGGTGGGGGAGGTCTGTCTCCACGGACCGGTCCGGCTCAGGCCACGGACCAGGGGGGGGCTTGGGGACCTCTGTGATAGAGGGCCAAGTGGGGAAACGCCTGCTTGAACTGATCATTCCTGGTTTGTTGAACCGCTCCCTGTCGTGGGAGGAGCCAAGTACGAACCATTGGCCTGTGTGCACTAATGCCCGCCAGGATCACACCGGCCGTTCTTGGGAGAAAGGTGGCTTATAAATAAAACAATTCACTCCTCCTTGGCTCTTGCCACTAACATGGGGACCGTATCTCCCCACCTGAGCCTTCTTGGCGCTTAAGATCATCAGAGAAGGCCCTCCTCAGAGTCCCGTTGCCTGCGCAGGCCTGGATGATGGGGACACGGGGCAGGGCAGGGCCTTCTCTGTGGCTTCTCCCAGGTTATCGAAGGCTCTCCCTTGGGAGATCAGGCTGCTCCTCCCTCCTCCTCCCCCCCTTTGTCCTTCCACCAACAGCGGAAGACCCATCTTTTCAGGAAGGCTTTTAATGATCATGACTGAGTCTCTGAATGTCATTTTAAAGTTAGGATACTGCCTAATGTGTACCTGTTTTTAATTGTTCGATTATATGTTAATTGATTAATATTCCTTGTGCGAGGAACAATCTTCTCAGGGAAATCTGAAACTGGGGTGGCGCTGCAGCTAATGTCATCATCCCTGCTAATCGGAAGATGATGGCACTTTTACTCTGCAAGTTGTGGTTCTGCTGAATCATTATTTTCTCTTCTCTCTCTCTCTCTCAAATGAAGAGGGTCTCTTAGTTCCCAAACCTGAGCTTGCCTCTCGCCCAGAAGAGGCCGAAGAGGAGATGTTCGTCCCATTTCCTGTAGCAAGTGAGAGACTCCTAGGCCAAGATTCAGGTAAAGTGGCTGCAAAGCCTATTCGGTGATTTTTATTTTTTATTTTTGCAAGGCTGGAAAACATCCCTGCAGTCAATTTCTTCCGTTGTTTCATCTGTGCCAATTTTCCTAGATCTCTTATTTATCAGGGTGTTTTTTAAAGCATTTTTGACTACACTTTTCAGCTGAGAAGTCTTTCAGAGCAGTTTGTGCATGATCCGTAGCAGAGTGGATTTGAATTAAATCAAATTGGTTTCTATCACCATTTAAATTCCATGTTGAATTTTTAAAAATGAGAGTTTTGGACAATTTAAATGAAAAAAAAATTGAATTTTTAAAATAAACTAAAACCGTGATTTAAATCAATTTGAATTTTTTAAAAAATCAGATTTTTCCATCCTGATCAGTAGAAACCATGGAGTCCCTTGCCTTGAGGCTTCCAATCTCAAAAGAGGCGCAGGAGGGAGAGAGAGAGGAAATCAAGCAATTTGGGCAGCAGGCCTTAAAACCGAATAGCCCAGACTTTCCCAAACCAGGAGCTCCAAATGGTCTTGGACGATAACTCTGAGAAACCCTGGCCTCCTTTGTTGCTCTTGTTTGGACTTATATACTGCCCCATAATGCTAAAGCTCTCTTTAGG